AGAGGTTTGTGAACCTTGTTCTGCAGCCAGTTTGTCTATATCACTGAGAAATGGTGTAAGTAACTTCCCTGCACATAAAATGCAGCTGCTTATTGTGCTGTGAAATTTAACAATGCTGAGTGTAATTGATTTATAATTCATGTGAAAGATAAAATCAATGATCTAACTTCAAAACAGAATAGTTTTGGCTTACTAAACATTTGGACTTTTCTTTGCGAAATGCTTTATCTTTTTGCTTTATTACCTCTTTAAAATGTAATTTCATTGTTTCGTGAGTTTACTATTACTTTCTTGTAATTGTATTTTTTTAATTCATGTTTATAGGCTCTATCTAGACAAGTCTGTCAGGCCCCATTCATTTCTGTGAAGGATTTTAACTAAGAGGAGGCCCTTTGATTCATTAAAATTTTTTAGTTACCAAAAAAGAGAGTCCAACAACATCATGTGGTTGCTCAAGTAAACGATGCTTCCATTAAGACATTTGAGTGTTACAAGGCAATTGGTGAGTTTAATTTTTTTCTGATTTTTTCCTGTGTTTAGTTTTTTTAATTTTTACCCATTCCTTGGATTTGTCCTCAACCCTTTCAAGATAATACTGAAAAAGGTAGAAGAGGTGGGTGTGACCATAAAGAAATGCCCTGAGGAAAGGAAAGGGAGTATGAATGAGAGCAGCCTGATGAGCTACACTGATGCTTTGGTATTCAAACAGAGGTATTTTAACCATATGATGATTCCTGGTGCTTTATTCAGAGATGCTGATGAGATTGTTGTCTAACGAACACGCTCTGTGGCTGTCTGTATGGAAATATTTAAATTTTGGGCAATCATTCTCCTATTTTAGTACACTCAATACTTCATGCTGAAGGAAAAGCAAGACAAATGTTGTCATCAGCTGTCAGCTACAGCCCATTCCTTGCTGGAGAGTGAGAGAGGCAATGTCACCGTTCCAGCTCTCCCCAGGCAGGCACATCCCTCCCTACGGGCATGGGGAGAGGCAGCAGAATACAGAGATGGGAAATTCCTGTGGCATTTGTGCAAACCCCTCACCAGCTCCCACGTGGTGGATTTCACAACAGGAACACTTGTGTGGGAGTCTGGATCAGCCTGTGTTTGCCCTTTTCCTCCAAGTGTTTGCATCCGCGTTCTTGGGCCGGGCAGTGGGACTGGAAAGGGTTTCCCACCAGCAGCAGGAAGCAGGAAAATGGAGCTGATGTGTCAAGGGTGTCCTGGGTCTTCATGGCTCTCCTGTGGCTCCTAGAAGGGCCTGGCACACACACAGAAACATTCCAGCTCCTCCACTTAGATATTCTGCACCTCTCATCAAATTTCTGCCTTCTCAGGAGCCACAGGGAGTGGTTGGAAGTCCTGAGCTGGTCATACACCCACTGCCTAGAGTAGATAAATGCCATGTGGTGTTGAAAAATGGAAGAATTTGTGCAATTGGTTCATTTTGGGGTGGCAAAATCTCAAGTGTGCAAATATTTCTTCTGAAAACTGAAGGAATTCTGTACTGAAATGTCAATATGATGCAACTTGTCACTTGTCACTCACCTGCATCCCACTGTAATGTCTCTGGAACCTGGGTTACCTGTCCTAGTTTTCTTTTTTTTTCTTTTTTTTTATTCTAGAAGTGCTTTTTTCCTTCATGGATCCCTAATAAAAGCAATATATGTTTTCTTTCTGCAGATCATGATGCTGCTGTGTTCACCTTGCTCCTGGCTGGTACTCAAACAGCATCCACAGCATTGCAATGGGGCCTCCTGCTGCTGCTGAAGGAGCCCCAGATTCAAAACAAGGTTTTGCTTTGCTTGCACAGTGTGCTGAAGTATCCTGCAGTGACATTGTAAGTGATGCTCACCTGTAAAAGCTTCATAGGCTCTCATGTGTGCTAGAGCATCCAAAATCTGGGTGCTGTCCACCTCCATGCAAGCACTGAATGCTGCCATTCAAGATCAAAGCATCTGAGAGGTTGTTCTCTACCCCAGGGGCTGCAGACCTCCTGTCCTGGGGTGTCCCAACCCACATTCAGCAGGAGCTGGCATTCACAGGTGTTTCACCACTGTCCCCGCACAAAAGGGTGACACAGAGACCGAGTTCTTGGCCCTGGCTGCTTCCCTACCTTCGAGATGGCATTTCCCAAAGCAGTGATCCATGGGGTGTGGAGATCCACCCCTCTCCTGCCACAAGCTCCTGGTGCACCTCAGTGACACCCCCTTTCAAGGCTGCTTCACCCCCAGGGCACTTGCTGCCCTCCAGATGAGGGGTGCAGCTCCCCAGTGATCCACAGGGCAAAACACACCAGGAGTGAGCCAGCCCCAGGCACAGGGCTTTGGGAGGGGAAGAGCCAGTTCCCTAAGCCCTGATCTCCTCTGGGTGCAGCCCAGCGCCACTGTGACTTCAGGGCCAGGCACACTTCCCTTTTCCCACAGCTCAGCTCACAGCCTGGGGTCTGTTCCTTGTTCCCTTCCCTCCCTGCAGAGCAGTGCTGCCTCTGCCCTGCCAGGACACTGCCTCTGCCTTGCTGGAGGCACATGGAGAGCAGCTGGGCAGCAAGGGAGCCTGGCCCACGTCTCTCCTCTGCTTCATCACTGGGGAACAGCCAGCAACTGTTGTAGTTTAGTCACAGGATTGTTTAGGTTGGATGAGACCTTCAAGATAATGAAGTGTAACCATCAACCCAGCGCCACCACCATGTCCTCGTGTGCTGCATCCATGTGGTTTGGAACACTCCATTGCACCTCTGGGCTTCCCCCACCCTGCTGGGCTGGGGACGGATCACAATTAGTCAGTAATTCCAGTGAACTGGGTATCTTCACCAATGAAGGGTCTTGCTGGCAGGTGCAGGCCCAGGAATTGGTTCTTCAGAGGAAGAAGTTGGCTGGCAGACACAGCCCAGAGGGAGGAATGCTGAGTGGGCAGGCCAGAAGCTTGCAACATCCACACATGCTGCAGCAGAGCATGGCAGTGCTGTGGGGAAGGGCAGGGATCCCCCTGCTCACCCCCGTGCTGCAGATAAAACAGGGAAAATGGGAGATGAATGTAACCCCAGCCATCCCTGCACACACCTGGTTCTGCAGGTTCGTGGGAAATGAGTGTCTTTGCTCCCAGCCGTGCAGCAGGTGATGCAGGTGGGCTGAGGGGGACATGGACCCTGCAGATTTAGCCCTGACTCCTTCCCCAGCCCGGATTTGTGCTGGCAGCATGCTCCGGCCCAGTGAGGACACAGGGCCGCGCTGCCTGTGCCTCAGAGGGATCCTGGTGCCATCTCGTGGCAAAAATAAACTAAAAATTAGATTGTGTGCGATGCTTATTTCTCTGGCCATGCAGGTGGAGTTGCTGCAATCCCTAACCCCAATCCTTGCCCCTCTCAGGGCAGGAGCCCCTGGTGCCAGCATCACCAGCCCTGAGGATGACAGGCTGGGCCACGGGACAGCTGCCAGCGCCCTGAGCCACAAAGTGAGGTGATGTTGTTCAGCTCTGACTCTAAACACCCAGGCACCTGTCCTGCCCCAAGGTGTTTGCCTTCAATCCAGGTGAGAGTTGCAAGGCACAAACTTGTTTTGCAGCTACAGGGAAGACCCTCAGGGCCGCTGAGGAATGTGGAAATGGTATTTCCACCTCTGAGAGCCAATGTTTTCTGCTAGATAAATAGATATCTGAGTCATAATCAATGTTCTGCCATCGCTTCGCTGAGCAAATAAACAAGAGACAGGCACTTTATTTTGTGGAGATATATTCAGCAGTGTAATTCAGTGTGCTGGGGAGGGATCATTCCTATCCATCTGCTGACACAGGCACAAGCAGGATGCATTTTTCAAAGGAATCCAAGGAACCTGTTTTCCTTGGATGTTTGCAGTTCTGGAGGCTGCTGTGCCATGGAGGAAGGGATCCATCTCTCTGCTTCAAAGCCAAGAGCCCCAGAGCCCATGGCAAGGGGCAGGTCTGGGGTTCCACCAGAGAATTCGTGCAGAGTTGAGCCCAGCTCAGTGTTGCTGCCTAGAGCACTACACTGCTGCTTTATCTACCTTTTCAGTTCATGTTATTTTGGAGGGGTTAAAACTGGAACAGTCCTGGCCTTTCTGAAGGCAAAAGTGTTATTTTATGTCAGCCAGACCAAGACTTCCTCCACAGAGCTGATATCTGGTTTGCTCCCCAGTTGCTTTACCTGCCTCTCCTTGCCTTCCCATCCAAGCACTAAACAGAGGGACAGCACCAGCAGCAGGGAGAAATGGTGGCAACCTTTAATTCAGCCTCTGCAAGCAGGAGGCACAGAAGTGAAGGACTGAAATTGTCCCGAGGGCTGACTCACAGCCCAAAGCTGAGGAATTTGCCCTGGTGAAACCACCCTGCAGGTATGGAGGGTCTGCTGTTGAGCTGGTGTTTACTAGGATGAACATATGCAAAACTTCTCACCCATGGGATACATCTAACATTTTATCTGTTGTCATTCTGGGCTCAGGACCAACGTTTCATGGTGTTTGCATTTCTGTGTGCTTCAAAGCTGGGTGCCAGGCATAGGAAATGTAATGAGGACGTGGGATTAAAACTTTATTGGGTTCCCATGAAGGGGAAACAAACAATATGATAAAGCACATAATAAGGAAATGCATGTGGAGGAGTGGGAAGTCACAGGCAGATAAACGGATGGAAAATTGCTTTAGCTGGAATAAGGTTGTGGAATATGATGGCATGTAAGTGAGACAGAGACAACAGCCAGGCTGAGCTACAGGGGAAAGGAAGCCAACCAAAACCAGCTCTCATTTAATCCCTGATCCCCACTCTCTGTGCACGTGTGTGTGCAAAACAAGCACTGTGAAATTCGGCTGCATTTGCAGGGGAATTGCATGGCTGGTTCCAAAGGCCAGACCATCCCAAACACCAAATGACTGCTGGTTAGGCTCTTAACATTAACCAGGATATCTGAAGAGAGGGAATGCTCTTTGCTGCTGTTTAACAAGGTCAGGAAGGACAGAGATGTGTAAAACTAGCAGTGGGTGTAGTTTATTTTTGTGTAATTTGCCCTTTATGACCGGATGCTGGTGCAAATCTCATGTGGCCTCATGATTCAAATTGCAAACTTAGGAATGCAGCTCCTGTTTTGTTCCGTCTGGGGAGCGGTGTTGAGCTTGGTTGCAGCACTTGCTTCTCTGAACAGGTTTGCAGCCTCTGGGGCATCTTCCAGGACACTGTTCCAATGACTTAGTCCTCAAATCACATGGACCCATCACTTTTTTCACTCTCAGTGTTTGGCTTGGCTGCCTGGTGGGTGAAATCCTGGTAGGATTTTGCTGTGAGCTGTGGAAAAGCCCAGGAGGTGCCTATGGATGGCTCAAGTCTGTGACCCACGGTGTCTCTCTGTGGCTTCCAGCAAACCATGGGTTGTTCTTCCTCAGGATTCCGGGCAGATTTCTGTGACATGATGAACCCTGGGAGCCTGGGTGTTCCCCTGCTGCTCATGGGCTGCATCCCCTCCACCAGAGCAGCAGCTTGGTCCCTTCACCAGCTCCGTGCATGTCTTGAGCAGTGGGGTGTGATGCCAGCACCATGGTTTGTGTTTGCATGTCCCCCCCAGCACAGGAGCAAAGAGGGAGGATGGAGCAGTGGAGGGGGGGATGGAGGCAGTGGGAAGGGGATGTGGTGGTGTGGCAGGGTGGGGGGATGGGACTGTGAGCAAAGTTGGGGTGTTGGACCCCAAAGCTGTGGGACAAGGCCGTGGTTATTCCCGCAGGATGGCACAGGTTGCCTGAGGCTGAGGCCTCAATGTGAAAGTCGTCTGGGGGACGGTGAGGTCCAAGTCAGACTCTGAAACTCCTGGCTGGGGTCTGAAGGTGAATGTTTGGAGCAGCCCTACAAAGAAGACAAACAGCTCCATCTTGGCCAGGCTTTCCCCAATGCAGTTCCGTCGCCCTGCGGGTGAAAGCAGAGTGTTCATGGAAGAATCCAGCTGGAATGTTTGCCATGGACACGTTAGCATCTGAGATGTTGCAATGGGAGCAGGAGGGAAACCTTGAAATGCACTAAAGCATTTTGGAGTAGAGGGGCCTGTGTTGCTAAAGGTTCTCTTTCGTCACAGGCTACAGCCACCTTGCAGGGTTATTGCACATTTATGCTGTGCTCTCTCCTCTGCTTAGCTCTTCCAACCCTCTCAGCATCTTTAACCCTTTATTTTGGAAAGCAACCTGATAGAAGAATGCCACCTCCTTCCCAAGTGGAATAGTTTGAAACTCACTTTTCCTGTGCAATTTACCCTCGTATACCACTTTTAGATAAGAGTGTGTTTCTTTTTACTACCCTTCTTTGTGCTATATTTAGCAGTGGGAGAGCTGTGCTCTGGCAGCAGCCATTTGCCCAGATGCAGAACAATTGATTCCATTCAGTTGTCTGGTTGCTCATTGACTGAGTTAAGGGCAGTGTTTACACATGAAGACCCATTAGTGTGTATTGTAATTAAGTGGCCCTGCCAGAGCCCCAGCTCTGTGCAGGTCAGCCCTTTAGTTACCTGTGGAGAAAGGCAGGAAAGCTCCCTTCTTTACAAAATTCCCTTCGGCATCGAGAAAGTGGTTGGGGTTGAACTGATGTGGTGTCTCCCACTGTGTCTTATCCAGCAGCACTGAGGTAAGGGATGGGATTACAATTATACCCTGGAAGAAAAGTAACAAAGGCACAAATGATTGCCAAGTGCTGTTTTGGTTCATTTTCTCACACAGACTTTGGCGTCCCAGATTTGCTCCACCTGGGGTAGGTGGAGACCATGAGGGTTTTATCCCATCATCCAGCAGAGAGACATCAGTGAGATTTTCCCACTAGTGCCAAGGACTGAAGCCAAACCCCACATGGTGCTGTGAAAACCTCAAGTGGAAGGTAAGATCCTGCAATTCTCTGGCAGATACTTCACTGTGCAGATGGCAGCAAAGAGGTAAACCAAGGCTGCTCATGGAGTGAGGAAGTCCTGAGCATGAGAGGGACTGGATTGAACCCTATGACAACTCAGGGCTCAGTACAGAAACCCTTCTGGGGATGGTTTTGGACTCTGTCGTGTAATTCCCTCTAAGAAACCATTCTCCAGTGGCACCGGCAAATCCGGGGAGGGTTTTGTGTTCCTGGGAGGCAGCAGATACCTACCTTGGGAAGGAAGTAGCCCCTGAAGTGGGTGTCAACGGCAGTGCAGCGGGGCACGTGTGGCAGGAGGGTGATGAACCTCTGCACCTCGTGCAGCACCGCGTTGGTGTAGGGCATGTTCTTCCTGTCCTCGTACGTGGCCCAGCTCCCAGCTTTGACTGTTCTCCCAATCTCCTCCTGCACCTTTTCTGGAAGGAACAAACACAAGGGATGTGTCCCAGCAAGGAAGCCAACTCCCTCCTTGGATTTAGTTTAGGGGAAAAAAAAACCATTTTTCCTGAGTTTGAAGAGAGAGGATTCTTAAAGCAGCAGTGTGGGTTTCCCTGCTTTGTGTTTAATTCAGGCATGTGGGTGGGTTGTTCCTGCAGCATCATACTCTGATCTCCACTCATCCTCTCTCCTAGCAAGTCAAAAGCTGTTTTATTGTGACTTTGATCAGCACCAAGTTACATTAGGAGCTCATCACAGAGGAGAGCTAGGATTCAGCTCTTCAGGCAAAAGAGCTGCTGTGGATCTGAGGCCATTTCAGCCTTGCCATGGATGGAGAACGTAAAAGCTGCTCACTTTGAATCTCTGGGTATTTCATCATGAGCAGGATGGACCACTGGAGCGTGGTGGCAATGGTCTCTGTCCCAGCCATGACCAGGTCAAGTATAGATGCCATTAAGTTGTCATCATGGAAGAGGCTGTCTTTCTTGTTCTTCTCCTTGAAAAACACAAGAGGTAAGAAAAATCATAAAACCATCAGTCTGAGTATTCAGCAAGCCCAGGAAATGCTGCATAACCTACAGCACAGCTGGCTGTGGCCTTGTGTTTGTGAACTGGGTGATAAAATAGACCTGATCTTGAATGCACAGCTTCCACCAGAGATGGAACACCACAGATGGAAGGTTTGGAGGGGAGTTTTGGTTCAACATCCATCTCCCCTGGAAGCAGGCTGAAACCCCGAGCACACTGCTGCTCACAGACTCAGCCTTGCAGGTTTGGAAAGAGCCTGGTCTCTGCCCTGAACAGAAGTAGATTCAGCTAATCCTATCTCTGAGGGACTCCTCCTGCCCAAGACCGGGTTTGAATTCCCAACAAAGCTCAAAATCACCTTTCAGGCCATTTCTGCCTGGGCTTTAGAACTGTGATAACTCCTCCTCCACATAGCTGAGTAGAATACTTAGTGCCTAAGGTGAGCCTGGATCCAGCTGGAAAGAAGAAAAAGCTCAGAGCCCAAATATTTTGTGTTGAACGAAACCAACTGATGTGTGAAACTGCCGAGCCTCTGCTAAGTAAGATGCAGGGCAGGGTTAGGACTTGTACTGATGATTTATCATTCGAGTGCTTTAAGGGGCTCATTCATCTTGATGGAGCAACAGTATCAATGATTAATTGATTTGTTTTCATAAAAAGAAAGGCAGAGTCAGCTTTCATGTGAATTCATGCATTTTCTACTAGGAGAGAGTAGTTGATCTCATATTATTACGATTTCAGGAGTGGACTGAGAGTAGCTTTTGTGTCTTAATTTTGATAGAAAAATGTACCAATTGTAAGAGTCTTGCATCTGATTTAAGTACCACTGAAATAACAGCATGGGTTTCTATAGATGTACACAACATGACTGAAATCAAGACTCAGCAACTCTTTTAGCTAGAAAATCCAAAGGAGACATTGCAAACAGCCAACAGAGCTAAGCAGTCCAATACCTCTTGTTGTTTGAATATCAGTGCATCGATGTAGCTCCTCACACTGTTCTCATTGATATCCTCCCTGCTTGCCTTCATGTATTGCCTTAAAATGGCACGCACATCTTCGATTTTCTTGAGCATAATCTTGTGGGTTTTGAAAAGAAATCCGAGGAACGGGTAGAAATTGAAATACTAATGAGAAATTTAAAAAGAGAAGCATTAGGCCTGCAGAAATGCCACACAGAAACACATAGAATCCCCTTGGCACATGCTGAAACAGCTTTTTTCCTAAGGGCCAATGAATCAGTTGAGTTTTGTCTTTAGCAGCAATAGCTCAGCATCCCAGGGACTTCCCAGGCAGATTTTCATAAGTAACCACAGTTCAGATCTCATTTTAGCTCCACAGAGATGTGCAGGATGGGTCAAAAGGAAAGTAGGTAAGGGGAATCTGGCAGCAGATTTTGGTGACCCAAGTGGCACGTGGAGAACTGTCACATTTTAGGTGTAATGGCTGGCTCTGAACATTTGAAAACTGCTGAAGTAAACCCTACGGTTGGTGTGGCTCACGTAAAAAAATTACCTGTGGGACAGGGCAGTTTACTCACGTTTAAATTTGGGGATCCCAGAAGAATCATAATTTCATCTATGAGCCTTAAGAGAGTGAGAAACGTTGGGTCCTTGTAGTCAAACCTGTCCCCAAAGAGCATGACGAAGGTGACGTTGATGGGAGCGCAGTTGAAGGAGGGCAGGCTGAAAGGTTCCCCTGCAGCGGGAGCAGGGTGGGAAAGCTGTGAGTCGTGGAGCAGCTGTGACACACACGGGGCTGGACAGCCCCAGCACGGCCCCCAGCTCACCTTTGAAGGATTTGATCATCTCGATGAGGAAGTGGAGCTCCTCAAAGATCCTGCCTTCGATCATCTGTTTGCCCATGCCGAGGTTGCGCATGCTGGACACGGTGAACCTGCGCGTTGTCCTCCACAGCTCCCCGATGGAGAAGAACAGACCTGGGCAGCCCGTGAGAAATGTGCTGGGCTCAGGCACGGAGGAGCCCCCCACACCACACCAAACAGGGTGGGGAGCAGGGAGCTGCACAGGTGGGTTTTTTTTTCACACGGATTTAGGGACTAAAGGTCTCCCCTTTCTGTGTGCCTCATCCCTGCATCCTCTCAGCTCCATCCTCACTGAGCTGTAGCTTGGGAAAAGCAAGCTCCCTCCCAGCCCAGTGACCCCAGTCCTCTCCTGAGTGGCAGATGGGCAGGTGTGGCTTTCAGACCAGTGTGGGTTGGCTGTAGAGCTGGGGGGAGATGTTGGTTTGAGTTAGTCACGGGACATTTTTGGCCCTGCTGGTTGCAAGTCTAGGGCCTCAAGCACCTTGTGTGTCTGAAGCTTCTCCCTTCATCCTGTTTTAGTCATAAAGGTAATTTATTGTGTGGGATGGGATAATTCAGTCTCCTCCACCCTGAAGTGTTTTATGGAGATTCCCAGCAGTGCTGTATTTTCAGCAGTGGTGAAAATACTGACATTTTTGTGGAGGTTTCTGAGCTCATGCCACGATGATCTCTAGCACCTCCAAGCAGGGATGGGTATTTCATCCTGTCAGAGTGCTGTAAAGAAAACGTTGAGTCAATAATCCAAAAACTATCTCAGATTGTGGTCAGTTGAAAAGCTGGATGCCAGCATTTCACATCTCCATCGTGGCTGTGAGGCTTTTAAATATATTTGCTTTTCTGTTTTAAAGCAGTGTAATTTTAATTTGGGTAGCAAAACTTTTTGTTCTAAAAATATCAGATCAAATTTCTAAACTTCCATTTTTAATTTTTCTTTAATTTATTCAATTTCATCTGGATAATTACTTTTCTGAGAGCATCTTCACAAAGTCAACAAATTGGCATATTCTGAAGAAAAAATGTTTCATGGGAAAATTTGTGACCATTGTTGCTTTACAGCCCCTGAGAGCTCCCATCTTTGAGTCACCTCTAAGTGCCTCAGACTTGGGCTGAAAAGGTAAATGTGAAAGGACTTATGATGCAATACTGATATTCTCCCACAGGGATGTTTTACATGTAAATTAGCCCTAAAAAATGCCTTTCTCCTCTTCAATTCCTTTTATTTGTGTAGTGATAAATTAATCTATTCATATTATGGCTGGGTAATTTTATTTCTGATTCTAATCCCAACTTCAGCCTGTGACCAACATATAAAGCGTCCTTTTGGCTCTCCCAGCTAAAGCCTCACATGAAGCAGAGGATGGACAAAGCAAAAAGTCCTCTGAAGTAGTCAGGGGTGGAAAAAATATGGGATTGTTTGTGGGAGTGGATTTCCAGCCTCAGCCTCTTGCTTCTGAAGCTGTTTCAGGCTGGACTTCCTGAGAACTTTTGTGAGGAGGCAAAGGTGTGGGAAGTGACATGACAAAGGCAGTGGGAGAAAGGGAAAATCCCGACAGCTCCCAACAGCCGAGCCAGGTAGTCCAAAGTCTCCTGGAAACGTGAGGAGGGTTCATAAACCAGTGGTGACAGTGAGCTTCTCACACCAACATCGCACAGAGATTAACCCCAGAGTTACCACAGTGCCTTCAAAAATCCCACTCCTCCCACCCCTCAACTCTTTGGATATGGATGGGCTGCAAGTGCATCAGCAGAAATTATGGAAAGCCAGGAGCCACTGCGTGCAAGGAAAGCCAAACATTTGCTGTCACTTGGCTCCAGAAGGGCCCAAGGGCATGTTTAAAAGCTGGGCTCCAGGGATGCACAGTTGGGCTGTGCCTCATCATCATCATGGGCACTAAATGACAGTGTTGTCCCTCCCACACCCCCAGTCATTGCTCTAGTACCATTTCTGTTCTGAATTTGGTCAAATATTGGGATGGATGGTCTGTCTACAAACTCCTCTGTGTAGTTCACAAGCGCCTCTCGCACAACTTCGTACCCGGTCAGGACCACAACTTTCTGGAACCCAAAGTGCAGGGTGAAGATGGGGCCGTATTTTTCTGCAAGCTGAAAAAAGAGTCAAGCTGTGATGGTCAGGAATTGAGGGAGAGTGCATAGAACAGCACCTTGTGCTGTCTGAAAGGACATTTTTCATCCTGGCATCCTGCAGGGAATGGCTGCAAAGCCACTACCTGCAGAAGGGCACCCGTGAGCTCATCATGGTCAAACACAAGGCATTTTGTACAGGTGCCTTGCTGGCATCTGTATGGAATTCAGGCTTCTTGCCATGAAGGAGCCCTCACCCCCATCAGTGCATCACTAATCTGGCTTTGTTGTTGAGGAGAAAATAAATGGAAAACAAAAAACCAAAAAAAACCCAAAACATCTAAAGGCTGGACCTCAAATGGCAGATAAAGTTGGCAAACTGGAGAAAGACCAAAAAAAAGAAGATAGTTCAGTGCAAATAATGATTCTGTCATAGAGGAAATCTTTGGTCTGATGCTCCTGATGTACTAAAGCACTCCTGCATCCTGCTAGGAGAGAAGCAGTGTCTCTTTCATAGGACAAAGGGGGTATCCCTCATTGCCCACCCAACAAACCCCAGTCGGTGCCAGCTGCTTTGTGCAAACACCATTTTTTGCTCTCCGTGGAGTGAGATGGAGGGATAACCCCTCTGGAGTAATCCCAAAGCCAAGGCAAACATAGACAATAGCAAGCACAGCCAAGCAGGGGACAAAAGCACGCGGAGGTAATTCCAAAGCGCCGTTCAGAGGCTGCAGCAGCGTCTGCCCAGCCCTGCTGGGTAAACTGACCCCAACCCTGACATTGCCCATAACAGCTCCAGGTGCTGGGGCCTCACCCCATGGCAGCACAGCCCGTGTTTGCTGAGCACGGGTGTCACAGGAACGTGGACACCTGGCTGTGAACCCCCCTGCCTGTTTGCTCACTCTCTCCGTGACCCCAGCATGGGTCAGCCCCGAGGGAGCCATCCCCGAGAGAGCCATCCCTGAGGGAGCCATTCCCATTGGAGCCATCCCTAATAGAGCCATCCCTGAGGGAGCCATCCCCAGTGGAGCCATCCCCAATGGAACCATCCCCTAAAACCAGGCGGGAATGCCCGGCAGCCCCAGGAGCAGCCTCGTCCTGCACACAGTGGGGTAAGTTTCCTTAATTACAGCTTAGTGGAAGAGCTCACAGGTTTTTCACTCTGTTCCTCAGCACAGCTTTGCCATCTTTCCCTTGCACTACCATCTAGACTTTAATGCGTGCCCATTCATCGAGAGGGAAAGGGATTTTGCGATGGAGTCTGGATTTCACCCTCTCCACGGCAGTTTTGGGGTCACTGCATTGTGGAATTCTTCTTTGCCACATCTCTGGGGCATAGGGGAGGGAAGCAATTTAATTTATGTTAGTTATATTCTAATGCTTTAAAAGATTTCTAGGTGTCCAAGCTGTCAAATTAATATTTCAAATCCCACAAGCATTATACACTTCATGTACATCATCACAATTACATGAAGAAATCCCATATTACCCAGAGGTCTTTTTTTAATGGTTGATTGCTCCTAAATTACATTGCATCAACACAGACATTGACTAGAAGAAGCCCAGAAAGATATCATAAAGCAATTTTCACACCTTCACAATTTAGTTTGAATTAAAAAAGACAAAAAGTTCTCACTGAAACATCCCAGTTTAAAAATCTATGAGGGTCTGGGTTAGGGTTTTTTGTCCTACCTTCATTAGTGATTTATCTTGCCTTCTAAGATCCACCAAGTGCAGGTTACCAATGATCGGAAGAGGAGTTGGACCAGGAGGTAATTTAAAAGCTGAATTTTTATAGCCAGTTGAAAAATAGGCTACAGCTAATAATACTGCTGCACACAGCAGACAAACTAATGCAGGATCAGAGAGAAATGAAATTAAAAAAGACATTTTTTTTTAAAGTAATAATCTGGTTTTTGGGGTTAGAAGCAATAAAAATGCAGTGGCACTGTTCAGTTTCTGCCAGCTGGCTCTCTGTTTGCTCTCTGCAATTGCTACAAGCACTCAATTCTTATTAAGGTTTGTAGAGTACCTAAATAAATACTGCATACTCCACCCTCTTTAAACACCTCAGAGAATGTGGTCTAAGCAGTTTGCAAAGCCTGTCCAGAAGTAAAGAGAGTTTCAAATTACAAACCCATGCATGTGTCTGCAAGAACATATACATGGGAAAAGGTGCTTGGCATTCCTCTCTAACCTCCTCCTCCCTGAGACCTCAAGGTCCTTCATTAGCAGTACTATGACCCTCCAAGCACTCTGCTGACACAGGGAATAAAAAGACTCTTGGAATCCTATTAGAACCTCTGGATTCAAGCTTAGGTAGGATTTGAGATCTCCATGTTACTAGAGAAAAAGATTAGTATTTTTTACAGGAGACTTTGGCTTTCTTGATGTCAAGTGGAGATCAAAGGTTGTTAATAATGGTAAAGCCCAACTATCCCTGGGGGGTTGTAGCCCATAAACTTCTTCATAAAGTCAGCTCTGAACTGCCCGGGAGGGATGTGATTTCAGACTTTGCGTCTGAGGTGGAAGACATGTAATAGCTAGCCACAGAAAATTAGCTTGGATCAAGTGATCATGAGTGGATGCATGAGTGCAGTGGAAAGACAAAATTCGATTTGAAACTTCTGGGAGGACTTCATTTTGTGAGAGCAGCTTCTAAGGGATAGGGGGAAGAAGTTAACGAAGTTAATGAAGCCATCTGACCTGGCAGGCTCCAGAAAGGGAACAAGACAGGAGAATGGAATGATTTTAACTCAAAAATACTGAACACCTGGATCTTATCCCTTATCAAGGCTTAAACCTTGTAGAAAATAATTGAGGTTACCTGGTTGAATAGTGGTTTTCAGGAGGAAGTCTGGCATAACCAGCCAAAGGAATACGATCATTCAGGGAAGAAAGGGCTGTCTTACATGATGAGGAAACACAAGGCTAAAGGTACATTTGTCCAAAGGTTAGATCATATAAAGGCCATTATTCAGCAAATATGGCTCCTTAGCCTTGTAAATACAAAGAAGGCAAGGAAGGAGGTGGGTCTGACCCGGAGTGGGGCATGGTCAGCAGGGTCCCGGAGCGAACGGCTGCTGGGCACTCACCAGAGCTGCCTGTGTGGTGAGGAGATGTTGCACACAGCAGCCACCCAGAAGCAGGAGCAGCAAGTGTGTCGCAACATTTCTGAGATTTATTTTTTTATTAGTTTCCAAGAAATGGGCTGGAGGCAATGGTTTCCCCCAGAGCATGCCTAGGATGACTCAGCCCTGCCTGCTCCATGAGCTAAGAGGCAGAGGGGCTGTAAAGGCAGGCAGGAAGGAACATGGCTGGCACAGGATGCAGAACGTGGGCACTGTGATGAGAACTTGCAATGCTCTGTGCCTGGGCAAAATGTTTGTTCCTGCAGGGTTTTCTTGGACCAGCAGCACCCTGCAGGGCAAAAGTTACGTGTTGCTGCTGCTCTCCTGGTGTTTCACCTTGCCCTGGGAGCCTCTGAACTCATAAAAAGGCCTTTCAGAAAGAGAGTTAAATGATCTCTGAAAAGCCAGGGGGAGTGTATTGTGGTTTTTCTTGAGCCAGGCTCTGAGTGCAATGCATTAAAATGACAAAGGTAAGTAAAAGTCTTGCGATGACAAGAAATTCCTGTCTCACTGATGTGTCTGGTACGTGTTTTGTGTTTCACTCCAGAGCTACGTGCTGCCCTGCCTGAGCACACAGAGCCGAGCACAAAACACCTGCCAGGCACTGACACTGCTCTGGGTGCATTCCTGGGGCAGCCAGGCCCCTCTAGGTGCTCATGGCCCAGTTGCCCTCCATCCCTTGTGCCCGTGTGGCATTCTGCCACCACTTGTGACTGGTGGTCCTGGTGAGGACGTGGAACATTGGGTATTGGCCACCTAAAGGCAACCACACCACTGCCAGTCAGCCAGCCTGGGCCACTAAAACACCAGCCCTGCATCAACTTAAATGCCCCAAAATCTCTGCACCTCCCCTGCCAGTCCCATTCTTAACCACCAGTGCATCCCAGACCGCAGCCTTGGATAATTCCTGCTGGCTTTTGCTGTGATGGGTTCCTTGTGAGCAAGGGCAAGAGACACAGGAACCACTGAAAGGAGCCACATCAGAGAGCTTGCAGAATCCTGCCTCTCACAGCAGTTGGGATTTTCTGGTGTTAGAAATCCAGCTATTTCCTTTGAGGTGTTTGTGGCTGTCAGTATTGTCACTCTTTGTGCTGCTGAGCATGTCCTGGCTGCAGGCTGCCCACGGATCCCTGTGCTCAGCTCTCTCATGAGGCAGTATTGAAGGTGGTGCAGCCCAGCTTTATCAGTTTGACCTGAAATCAACTGCATACTGTCACACCAGATGGATCAACACAACAGAACAAAATATTTAATGATTAAGTGGGTGATAAGGTCAGGCTTGCAGTAGCTAGACTTCAAATAGAGCAACAGCAAAACAAACGCAAGCAAGCACAGCAGCAGAGGCTTCCTTGTCCCAGAGCACTCCCCGAGCTGAGCCAGGAGCTGGAGCTGGGTCTGTGGTACAGCCCCTGACCAAGTGCAACACCAGCAGCAGTAGAAGGTGCAGAATCACTGGGAGAGTGCTGCATTTAGTTGTGTGAACTAAGGCTAGTGAGGAGAGTCCGTGTCTTAAAGTGCAACACCAGCAGCAGTAGAAGGTGCAGAATCACTGGGAGAGTGCTGCCTTAGTTGTGTGAACTGAGGCTAGTGAGGAGAGTCTGTGTCTTGGCCAGAGGCCACCATACTTTCTCATCCCTTCCTATTCTTTCTCCTTTCTTTCCTTCCATTTCCTTCCAGCTCAGCTTTAGACAACAGTAACTTTAGTTTTATGTTGTAAGTTTACCATAACTGCCCCATTTTCAGTTGAATGGACAATACTGTCCCCATTCATGACAACACACCTGGTAAGTTTGGAATTAGGAGCCTGTGGATGATAGTTCACCCTGCAGTCAGTGGAGAGAGTGAGAAATGACATCCTTATGGCAGCTATTCATCCCCTGAAGGATCCTTTCTCTCTGAAGAGAAGAGAAGATCTACAGGTCAAGTACAGCCCCTGAGGTGCAAGTGGAGCAGGGAGCAGGGGCTGAGGCTCTCCCAGCTCTCTGCTGGAGCGTGGCAGTCCCTGCCCAGCCCAGCTCCACTGCTCTCACACTGCCGCAGGTATCGCTTCAGCCACGCTGATTCAGAAACTCTTCCCTTGCCATGGCTGCTCATTTTCTGCCAGGTTAGGGATCTAAGATGGCCCAGTAAGGGATTGGATGAGTGCCAGAGCCAGCATGAAGCCAGGAGAGGTGAGGGAGTGGTAGAAATACCTTTCTTAGCAGAAACAGAAAGCTGCTCAATTGGCCCCATCATAAATGGGCTGTTCAGCATGAAGTGCCTGGTGTGAGGTGGAAAGAACCCATTTCCCAAACCACTTAGATGTTTTCTGATAACTGTCCCGTGCCTGGGTCTTGGCATCAGCCCGTGTTACACCCTTGTGTCTGGGACTCTGTAATAAAGATAAGGCAGGTTGTATCACACAATGGAAGCTCAGTCTGAGGCTCAGCTGAGCAACCATCCTGAGGAGATTTCCAGATCCTTTGTGTGTCTCTTGTCTCCAGCTGGGCCATTTATAATCAGCTCTGCTATAGGCTTGGACTTTGGGCTGAGAAATTCCCCATAGAGACTGCCAGGGTAGAGCTCTGCTGGGTCACATCTACAGAGGAGGTCTGAAGGCATTTCACTCTTTCAAACTGTCCTGAAAACAGCATCTCTGATGTGCTGTTCCAGGAATGAATCACAGTTTCTGAGAGCAGAACTCATAGCTGTCTGAAGGGTTTGCATTATACAGACATTGCAAGAGCTGTTGGAGAGGATGTCACAAATGAGAGAAAATATAATAACAGTGCCTGGTGTCTTCCTTCCCCTAAAGCTCAGGGACAGCTTTTCCCCACCGTAGCTAGATTTGCTTTAAAGCTTGAAGTGTTCTCTACTCTAATGCTGTGTTTTTTGATCATTCACAGGGCACAGCACAAACCAGGTGAGGCATGGGAGTCAAGGTAAAGCCGACATCAGCAGTGAGATCCAGGTCTGACTTCTCCACTCCTGGAGGAGGCTGGAAAACAAATTTACGGAGCAAGCCTGAAAAGAAGAGGAACAGCTCCATTCTGGCCAGTCCTTCACCAAGGCAAGCCCTTCGCCCTGAAAACAACCAGGGGAGAAGTCAATGATCAGCCCTGTAACTGTTAGTGTTGATGTCTGAGACCTTCTAAGCAGGAGGTACAGTCTGGAAGAGCAGGCTGCTGAGGTAGGAAATTTTCCCTTCCTTCCCTCTGTATATTAGAGGTGCTACTGATTTGCTCTCAAACTACACAGAAGTCTGTAGATATATGAAATTGTTCAGTGACTGTGAGTAAATCCATGTCTCCCATCTCTCCCAAAGAAGAGGCGGTTACCTACAGCAATGGTGGATAGGAGAAATGACCAGAAATCCTTTACTCTGTGTCCCTGGCTTTCATACTTTCCTGACATCAGGGGAACTGCATTAGCCCTGCACCCACACTCCTCTTACCTATGGAGAATGGAATAAATGCTTCTCGCCTAATGAAGTTCCCATTGGCATCAAGGAAATGGGAAGGGTTGAACTGATCCGGGGTTTTCCAGTGTAACTCATCATTCAGAGCAGAGGTCAGCAGCGGAATAATTTCAGTACCCTGAAAGGGATCAAAGAAACTCATGGAAAGGAGATCACTCCCTTACATGAGCCAGACTGTGTTATGTTTCCTAATGTGAAGAGGCAAATAAGACATGACAAATAGAACTGGGGAATGTTTCTCTGCCCCATGGTGGCTCTGTCTGTTTCCAGTAACTGCTGTTTTATTTTTTTGGACCACAAGA